TTGATATTTGCAGTTTCAATTAAGTTTTTCTGTTCACCTAAGAGTAACCCCCTCACGCATCAGTGTTAAATAGCAATTGCCTGTTTTAGGTTAAAGAGATCTTAAAATGAGGCTGCTAGCTCAGTTTGAGCAGGAGCGGGTGATAATTTGGTTCCTAAACTCAACTTTTATAGTGGTTGATGTACTTGGACAACATTCAATTTGACGCCGAAAGAAGCGAAATCATAAAAATACGGCAGCCAATTCTCCTGCCTTTCTGCCAATGGCTGTAGGACTTAATTGTTACCTCGTCGCATGTGGCAAGTTCATCGACTGTTACCGTAATGTCAATTCAAATGTTACTGATCAATGATAACGTTAAAATATACTGACCCTGACTTTGTATTTTATGCTTTTTTGATATGAGTTTCGCGTTAGAAGTTCATTCGGCTCATTTCAAAACTTTTTTTGATATTAAGTAAATTCCAATTTTTTTGCAACTATGTGCATTATCAAGGTTTTTTCACTTAATTAATCTGTGACGACAAAACATCAATTTAATCAACTACATGCAATCGGATTGCTCACTATTCCTGCAACAAATTGGCTATTCTTCAAGAGCAAGCAAAAGGATTCGAGTAGCTCAAGCAATATCTGAAGCTGCTTCAGAGTGCAGAAATTGAGCTGAGGTCTACGCGATTGATAGTGACACACTAAGAGAGAATCGTGAGTCTCAAAGCAATTCATACCTTTTTGGCCATAGATTGCAATGGAAGCTCCCATTGCTTGATCACAAATTTGAACATACAATTTTTCACTAAAAACTACCTGTGAAAAAGACCTTGCTGATCAACACATCCCGAAGCTTTTTCTTTTGGATTGTGGTTGACCTTGTAAGAATATTCAAAAGTGAGCCAGGACGTGTTCTTGATATCGCTTATTCTCTTCATCCAAATCTACAGTTCAAGCTAGAGAAAGCTATCACTGAGGGGAAGTTGCCGTTCCTGGAATTGAACGCGAGTGTATCGCAAGATAAGAGTGTAACCTGAAATTGGTGTAACAGGCGTTCATTCAAGTCACATATGAGGTTAAGAAAAAATGATCTTTAACCGATGGCTCAAGGGCCAGTCACAAAATCTTTTGTGATTTCGTACATCAATCAGTCGGAGCCAGTTAGTGATTTGCTTGGAACCTAGTACTTTGGGATCGTTACAAACTAAACGCTACTACCAAAATACACTCAACTCTAGATAGAATTAATTACGCCACCAATGCCAGGTCTCTAAATGCCTCTGACCCGCAAATGACTTTAAAAACAATGTTGAGACCTCAGGTAATTACTGGAGGCTTTTGTTTAATAGTATTTATTTTATCCTAGTCAGATGGATCAACCTAAAAATCGCCTTATCTCAACATAGTCAGATAGAATAGGCTATCTGACTATGTTGAGACAAGACGATTTTTATGATGATCCATCTGACCTGGATAAAATATACACTATCAACTTCACATACTCTGGAAAACATCTGGACAATAAGTATAGATTTAGCTACTGTAACATACTCAGGAGAATTGAATAAGACTCAAGAAATTTGGAATGCTAAAGCTCGCGAAGTTTCACTCGAAATGTTTCGGACTGTCAGGTTAGTGGATTGGGATGTTTCGCTGTTGATCAGGATAGTTGTTCTTGTGAACTTGAAGCGCTTGACTCCCCCTCCCTCTCTCTCGCTCTCTCTCCCTCTCTCTCTGTCTCTCTCTCTCTCTCTCTCTCTGGATTGTCGCGCCCGGTGGTTAAATTCTCTATCCGAAACAAGAAGCTCTACACTAATATAGTACAAGCAAGTTACGAATATGAGATAGGGTCCAGCTCTTTTTCTTGCATCTTTCCCGCATCTGCTCTTTCCGCTGTTCTGATTTCTTACTTTTTTAATTCAGTTGCCTCGAAAAATTTGATCATGACGGCCAAATCGTTATATTGAAAAAAAAACCGTCCAAACTAAAAGCAAACTGTTCTGATGTGATTGACTGACTCAAGGTATCAAAATCCATCAGATGCTTGGATCACACTGACCACACTGACTTAAAGGGTATCTACCCTAATTGAATACAATCGTAAAATTATCCACGGTGCTTTGCTTAGAGTTGTTAAGGTTCCAATAAGTTGGAAGTAATTTGAATAACCTAGTAGGGCGCAATGGCTGAAAAATGAGTGCCCTGGGTATTGATCTGTAAATGTGGTAATTATTTAGGGCAAGAGCAAGACAGAAGAGATCGAAGATTTTTAACTTATTCGCGAAAGGATGTGAAGGCCCTAAATTTTGTGGCTCAAAATAAAAAAACCGGAGCCCATGTTTTGCAAGCAGGCTACAGAAATCAACCAATGTTCAAGTAGTTTTCTCGAAAGAAACTACGATCAAGTTTGCCGTTGCTGAAGTCAATACTTTCTGATGAAATCAAGCCAAGTGTGTTTGTAATCTGTCTTGTAGTGGATATATTTCCACCTATGTTGGACAAACAATTCGGCGATTGAGCACTCGAATTGATGAACATGAGAAAGCAGACTCAGTGGGACTCAGCAGACTTGAGAGATTAAGAGCAGTTGTTAGTAGATACTTTATAGATGTTAACTCTTAACACTAGATGTAAAACGTATAAGGAAAGAGAAGCCGGGCTTGAACACGCGCGAAAAAAACAATAAGCAGGGAATATTGACACTGAAAAGATGGTCCCCAAAATCATTTTTTTAATTGTTCACGGCTAAGTTATAGTAACGACCCAAAATTAGAAAGTTCCTGACACAACATAATTTTTTTTGAACGTTTCTCGGTTCCGGATTATATTTTTTTGGTTAATTTCGTTGTTTTGCGTTTTATGTGTAACATTCGCCCAAACATTACACAGTAACGGAGCGTAGAAAAAGCACTTATTGACAAATGGCAGGCGTAAGTAACCCTAATTTTACTCGTTTTTCACCGTCTAGACCTAGCCAGATAGTTTTCTGGTCTGTTTAGGGCTAAGTAAAAAATTACAATTTTTAGGCCATCAGTCAAACGACTTTTGATCAGCTTTCGTTACATGCGAAGATAACCACATAGCTGGATCTCGTATCCCCAGAATACATGATTATTACTAATTACATGGCTCAGAATCCCTTATTTACTATGTTTTTAGTGACAGTTATATACTGAACTCATTGGGGATTGATTGACTTTCACTTCTCTCTAGCTACTTATGCTCTGAAAATTTATGTAAAATCGGAGTTAATTCAACTATTCAGGGCATCACAGCAGCTAAAAAGTACGTTCAATAGTTTCACACAGTCTCTGGGCACCAAGCCTCCAATTCCGTTTTCCCTCAGAGATAAGGTCGTTATCTCTCCAATCTCATGGTACGGATCCGCTCCGACGGTCCCACTGAAGCCTCCTTTCTTCTTATCTGCTTCAGCTAAGCGTCTTATCGTGTCTTATCGTCACGATAAGAGGCTCCGTCTCTTCTCTATTTTTCACAACTGTTCTTCGTCTTATTTTCTCGGCGTCTCTGTTTCAACTGTCTTTATTCTCTTTTTTTTCTTTAAAATGGCCGTTCCCGCATTTCGCAGAAATGATCCGGTTCGAATCGAAAATTCAAAATTTGAAAATTCTAGTATTACGACCCTCCTTTTCATTGCCAATATGATGCTAACGCCTTTATTGTTCCTATTTCTAGTGCGTCGGCGGGTTCGACTGTGCCAATCCGGGGAAATGGCACTATGACGGCAATTTCTAGAAACACAAGAATAAATTGACAGCTCTAAGTAACTCAAGTGAACAATTGTCAGTTGGCAAGGTTTGCGTTTGTGCTTTCAATTTGGTTCCATTGGTTCCATACTAAAACTGATTTTCTGAAAAAAAAACAAACCATTCAGTAGTCCAAACAGACCGAAAGATCTCATTATTGCATTGTGACCACCTTGGTGTAGCTGATCACGTGTGTCTATATCCCCTTGAAAAAACTAATTAGCTTAAGGAAAGATGCTGACCATACAACAGCCGAAAAAACCCTAGACCAATTCAGACGAGTCCAGTGTTAAAATGACGTTCAACTACACCACGCTAATTTGGGCTAGTTTTGTTTTCGGTTCAACGATTGTTTACCCAAGTTCCAACATATTTTAAGCTAGTTTTGTTTTCAGTTCAACTATATTAACCCAAGTTTTGCCGGCTTAAGTTTCGCTCGATAATTATCTATGAAAGGTAATTTAACGCTGTCAATTGTTTATGTCAGAATGTGTTCCTCAAATTGGACATCATTCAGTTTAGGTAGATATAGTTTTTGTTCCGACCATTGAAAATGGGGAGGATCTTTGTATTCGGGCGTGTTGTTTTTTTTTGTCCACGCAAAATCAGGTACCATAAATAATGATCGGACTGGGTAGAGTGATATATCATATAAAAGCCTTTTCAGTCGTGATTCGAACCCCTTCTAAAAGAAAAGGTCTACAAATTTTTCCCGGTGTCGAGAAAAAGCGGTCTGAAATTTTTGATTTTTCCTCTAAGTTCGAGCGAGTGAGCAGGGTTACATTAGCTCAATTATGCCTATTTTAAGCCTTGAAAATTTAGTTTTACTCTATTGGAGGAAAATTATTTTAAATCTTAGTTTGTTTTTGACTTTTTTGTTTTTCTTGTTATTTGTCTCCAAAAATTGTTTTCCAGTTTGCATATTTTACATGGCGAAAATGCCTAAGCTTTACTTTTTTGCTCAGATTCCTTTATCACACCAAGCCGAAAAAAAGCGACATTAATTGGAAAAACAATTTTTGTTGTAATTTTTTAAGGTTGGTCGGAACGTTCTGTGATACTTGCACAGTAACCAGCTATTCTTGTTTCAATGTTTGGTTCTTCCAACATGCTGGCCTCCACTATATGTTTTTAATTATTGAGTTGCATCGCTATTGGTTGCGTTGCCTTTTCGTTGAAAACTAATTGTCAGGCGGCCAAAACGAGTTGAATATTGGAACGATTGTAATATTTCACATCTACACTGTATTTGAAATCAGCAGATACTGATTCGTTTCAGAATACAGATTGCTATATTTGATACTTGAGCTTGTGTACGGCTGAAGTCGAATATGAATAGACATTGGTGCAATATTTGACTAGCTTCTAATTCCCCTATCGCTATCAACACAAGAGTCTGTCCAAGTAGCGCTCAAAGAACGATGATAATACCACTCGAACGGGTATTCCATGAGCGGGAGCGCAGCAACACGTGGAAAGACTACTATAATGAACTGAGAAAACAAGCCATCATCAAGACTGTAGACAAGGCCTCTAAAGTTGCGATTGCCAATCGAAGGTTGAATCGCTACTCGGATGTTCTACCATATGATTCTAATCGAATTGTTCTCAAGTCAGGTCAGTCAATTGTGATCTGTAGTTTTAAGCACAGAAATTAATTTGCAATTATATAACTTTAAGCCGTGATCTTCTAACTTTTGGTTGGTTTTCGCAATTGATGTCCATTTGAATTACTCCATAATTAGTTCCTAGTTTTTAATTAGTTCCTATTTGAATAAAATGATCAGAATCAACAAGTTATTCACGTCTGCAAATTCGTGCAATATGCCGACTGTTAAGTGCTTTTTGGCAAAAATGGAAATGAAGGAAGTATGGAGAAACAATATCTCACAAAACACAGAAGTTATTTAATTGACACAAAAATTAAACAAAAAATGTAATTAAACAAAAGCACTGAAAAAAGGCGGATAGACCAAATGCTTGAGATGTCCCTCTGAAAGTCTACCCTTCGTAATAACAAAAAAAGCCGGCTCTTTTCCATTCTCCCTTATTTGAATTTCAGTTTTGAAATTTTTTTAAACATCGTCATAATGAACATTTGCATGGTGAACAACTCAACTATTGTGAACACATTTGTTCGTCATACCTTTCCTCGTTACAATCAGCCATAGTAACACGTAAGACATCTAAGAACTTGGAAAAATTGAAATGTGTGGGTAGGAGTTGAAGAGAGCCCAAAAGCTCTTGGTCCCTATGATTAGAATGAAAAAATTTTCATGAGCTCTAATTTTAAGATATCCCAGCGGAATGCAAACTTTATCCATTGATCCAGTATTCTCAAATTGAGTTATTTTCATCAAACGAGTAAAAAACAGTTTAAACAGTAAGTAAAAAACATGCTCAAAACAAAATGAGAAACGCTCAAGTTTTTCCAGTTTTGTGGCTTAGAGTTTGAAAAAACATTTAAAATAAAAAACTTGTTTTTTTTACCTTTAAAACATGTTTTGTTTTGTATAATAGAATGAAAAAATTTTAAACCCCCCGCCCTGAAAAAAGTGTCAATCATAAGTTGTTCTTGAAATTCAATTTTTTTTCTGGTTGTTTGCGTTCATGGAGTCTTTTCAAATAGCTGTTGGTTGTGTTTTCAATTTTGTATTGTTTCTTTGTGCGTTTTGGGGAAGGGACAAAACAGATCAGAAACGTTAGTAATAATGTGACTTAAGTATAATAGTCATTGCGAAGTCAATCACAAAAGTGAAAAAAAAATCAAACAAAATTTTGTCAGGTTTCTTTTTCTTAAGCTTCCATGATTTTAAAGCTGGGAAAGCACTCAAGTGCATCAATGCGAGGGCATACTGTGTATTTTGAGAATTGTCAGCGGATTCTGCTACAAGAGCGCTCTCTTTGATCTTCCTCTGTTGTTTTGTATTCTTTGAGCATTCAAACAAATATTAAACATGTTTAAAGACTTGTTTCTGGATTTCAGAGACCTACAAATACTAAAATGTGCGCATTTATAGTGCACAGTTTGGCCTCGAAATGATACCCAGGAAATAGTTATAAAATCTTGTAAGTATGATTATACAGCGAAATTAAATGCTTTTGCCTTAATCACTTGCCTTACTCGCTCGTAGATTAGACTAAAAATCTAATTTTTCAAATTCAGCAAATAATTGAATTACGATTGAAAGCGCTTTAATATGAAATATTATTCCACCTCATCTGACGTGTTTTTCCTGTTCATAAATTTTCGTGGAACCGAAAGCTAAAACGCACACGACGACAAAGCTCCTCCTGTATTTCAGTAGGCGAAACAGATTTGAAACTTCATGAAATCATAAGAAGAATAGCCGATTACTGCGCTAGTTATGTTCCTACCATAGTTTTAGAAAATACTACAAAAAAGTTTTTTTAAAAAGGAGTAGTTTTTTCTGCGTTGTATGAGAAAAGGATCGGAACGAAAAACTAGAGCTCAGGAATATTCGACATTCATAGTAAAATACGCAAATTTGGAAATTAATTTTTTTAGAAAAAACACTAGAAAAACAAAAAAGTCGAAAAGTTTTCAAAAATTGTTTCAATTTTTTTTGCAGTTTTGAATGTTGCCCGAAATTTACCCAAAAAGCGCTAAAAAAAACTCGTTTTACCCGCTCGACGAAAAATCGAAAGTTTCAAACCGGTTTTTCCCGGCACTGGGAAAAGTTTTGGAATTTTTCAAATGTCGTTAGAGTTACGATGATTATTTGTGGTAGTTGATTTTGTGTGGAAAACAAAAAAAAAGAAAAAACTAAAGCACCCGAATACAAAGTTCCTCCCCATTTTTCAAATGGTCCGAACAATATTCCGAAAACAAAAACTTTGAGGGTCATAATTTTTTGTTAGGACTTACTTTTAATAAAAGCTGTTAATTTATTTCTCTATTTTCTGTGAGTTTTCGAACGAATATCAGATCAATCTTAAAAGAGGATATCTCTTAATACTGTAAAAATGACCGTTCCTTGCAAGTTGTATTCAGAAATTTTATATTTTCTGATATTAATCTGCAATCTAACTTGAAGTTCTCAAAAAAAGTTTCAGGTCTGAATCGCAACACCAATGAGCAATATTTCCTTATTAACCAAAGTTTTGGAATTCTAATCTGAAGTGGGCTGTCTCTGAATAGCCCAAAATAGTTTGTTTGATTGATATCTATTTCGCTGTTTTTTTTTGCAATAGTTTGAGCTCGCTCTTTAAATCAAAAAGCCTAATGCCTCTGTTCGGAAAGGAACCTGAGCTAATTTCAGTTTTTAACTTGGTTTTTGAAAGACTCCTTGTATCAGGGCAGAGCCCTGAATGTTTGGACAGCCCTTTTGGACGCCGATTAAAAGGTTATGGTTTTTGAAATTGTGAAACAAATTGTATCACATTGTACTTGAAATGGCGCGTGGGGGATCAAGAAATGAAAAAAAGATAGCCGATTACTGTGCTAGTAGCGCAGAATGTTCCGACCATAGTCTTTAAGAAATACATTTTTTTTCTTCAAATTAGTGTTTTTTCTGCGTGGTGTGGTAAAAAAGATCTGAACGAAAAAAAAGAACTTGGACATATTCGACAATGATTGTTAAATAGGCCAATTGGATCACTGTTTTTCTAGAAAAATGACTATAAAAACGAAAAAAAACTTCGTCACAAAAATTCAAAAACTTTTAAAATATTTTCTTTATTTTGCATTATTTTTTTCTGAAATTGATCGAAGGTTTGAAAATTTTGATTCCCAAAATGGTGCTAAAAACTCCAAAAACTGACTTTACTTCAAAAAAATGGAGTTTTTAAGGCTAAATAAGCTATTTTAAGCATGCTCTCTCGCTTTATTCGCTCGAATTGAAGTAAAAATCAAAAAGTTTTAGCCTGTTTTTCTCGATACTGGGACAATTTTTCCTTAATGTCGTTAGAATCACGGCTGGACGGGCTTTAATATGATATATTACACAACCTATTCCAATGGTTACTTGTGGTACCTGATTTAGCGTGGAAAACAAAAAGACAAAACTAAAAGGCACCCCAATACAATGTTCCTCCTCATTTTTCAAATGGTCGGAACACTAAAGTTTCTTACGTGTGGTAACGTATTAATTAGAGTGAATTGCTGTCCTCAGTTCAATATGGAATGAATTACACTATGTTTTGTAATCGGAAACTAGGCTTTTTTCTCTACACCGCCTTTCAGTCGTGATTCGAACGACATAACAAAATTTCAAAAAAGTGTGTCGAGAAAAACCGGTTTGAAATTTTGGTTTAATTTCGAGCTTATTAGTGAGGTAGTTAGTAATTGCAATAGCTTATTTAAGCTTAATTTGAGCCGTGAAAATTTAGTTTTACTCAAGTTAAGTAGTTTTTGGAGTGTTTTAGCGTAATTTTGGGAATCAAAATTTGGATATTCAAGATTTCCGCAAAAAATGTTGATTAATTTTTTGATTTTTTTTTTTCGTTTTTCTAGTCATTATTGTTCAAAAACTCTTTTCCAAATGACCTATTTTACTATGAATCTCAAATATGCTCTATTATTTTGTTCAGATTTTTTTTATCACAACATGCAGAAAAATTACGAAACCAATTTCAGAAAACTTTCGTATTTTTTAAAGACTGGTCGGAGCATTCTGTGCTACTTGCACAGTTACCGGCTATCCTTATTGAATCTCATAAATTTCCAGGCTCCTTCGATCTGGAGTTAACGTGGTTGCTTTAGAAATTTAAAGTACGGTGCTGGGGTCCCATGTTTTTTCAATACGTATCAAATTGAATTTATTCCGGAAAAACTGAATTATCGTTTGGTTGCTGATTTTTTGTCGACTTTTAAAGCATGGACTTTGATTCAGATTTAAAAAAATTCTTTCCGTAATTTACAGTCGTTCTGTTATTTCCTAATTTTCCCGACTCGGATTATAAATCTCGGTTTCCGTCGAATATAATGGTTTCTGCTTATATTTTATTGGCTTAGTTTGCTTACATTTTTGTTGTTTCAAGGCTGAAATTGATTAATTACAAAATAATAAACCAGGACGGTTGTTATATAAAAAAATTTCAAAAACTTTTAGTCTTTTATTTGCCTGCGAGCATGTTTATAAGAATGGAATGTAGCAATTTATTGTTATTGGAGATTAAAAAAAACTGGAGATCAAAAAGTTATTGGAGATCAAAAAGTTGGAGATTTAAAAAACTGTCATTTCAGGGGCCGACAGTTATATCAATGCATCGTACGTTGAATATGCTCGAAGTGGCCAGAGATATATTATCGCCCAGGGCCCCATGGATATCACTTGTCATCACTTCTGGCGCATGATCTGGCAACACAACGTGTCCAACATAGTGATGCTTTGCAAGGTGATTTAGATTTTCGTTTAAATGGCAACTAATTTTGCACATTTCAGAAGATTAGCACTTTACTTTGTTCCTCGAAATATATCCAGTTGTACACTATTTTTTATAGGCTTTTACTTCTGAAGTTGAGAGAAGGATTAATACAGATTACCGTATTAAAGTGCTATGCGGCGCTTATTTAGGCTCATTGTTGGCTATGTTTTCGAGCAAATTTTGACGTTTGAATTGAACCTGAACGCTAAGTCATGTTTGTTTTTACAATACCTGGCTTATGTCGTTTGAAGACTGACACAGGAGAATGTCGAAAACAGTTTGAAAGTTTTGTGTTGTCTGAGTGTAAAAGTTGATTTAGGTTGTGGAGAATCAAAAGTGTAAATGTGCACAATACTGGCCTGCGAGTGTTGCCAAAGACATGAGTTTTGATGAGTTCACGATATCGCTTCTGACATGCAGTCTTTCGAGCGAATACAACATATCAACATTCAAAATTAGCAACTCCAAGGATAAAGAAGGATCGGAGAGGACCATCAACCACTTTCACTACCACGCCTGGCCAGACTTCGGCATCCCCGATTCGCCCGACTCCTTCCTCAAGTTCCTCTGTCTCGTCCGACAGCAGAATGCAGTTCATTCTCCGCCGCCTGTCATTCACTGCTCTGCCGGTAAGAGCACCCTCAGAATTGTTCTGCATGATGTAACTGTCTTGATAGTTTTAAAAATTGAAATAAGAAGGCGTTTTATAGGTGATAATTACTTGAAATGAAGATCGAATTTGAAAGGCGATGGAATTTATAAATTCAATTTATTGATTTTTGCAAATTCAGTGAAATACTCGTCCACCTCAGCCCGTTATTCTTTTCCGGAGATCCACTCGCGTATGTGAAGTTAAAGCTACGCTCTGGTTGAAGATACTCAAGTAGTGAATACTTTCATTAGTTAATTAGTTAGTGATGCTTATTTAAGGTATTGGGCGGTCAGGGGTGTATGCAGTGTGCGACATCATCATCCAGCTATTACAGGACCTGCCAGAGGGGGAGTGGAGTTCGATATCCCTGGACGAGATCTTGCTCTCCCTCCGTCTGCAGAGAGTCGGACTGATCCAGGCACCCGACCAACTGCGATTCACTTTCAAGAGCATCCTGAGAGCCAAGCAGATAATGCTGGACAAGGAGTGGCCTTCCAAGTTCCTTCAAACACACGCATCTGACGACGAATTTAGTGATTCAGACATGCCAGCTCCTCCACCACCATTGAAAGGCCATGCCAAACCCCAAGTGGCTGCTAACGGCGATGTGGCTATGAATGGGGATGTCACCTCGAAATCAGAGTTGCGACAGCGAAAGCATCAGGAGACGGCCACCAAAGTAGCCGATATAAGGAAAAGGATGAAAGCAAATGAGAATAGCCAGCAGTTTTGGAACAATTACTGGCCTCACTTTATGGGCATTGGAGCCTTGATGCTGGGCACTTGTGCCTATCTGTATTTCTCTAGAACTTCCTCTTTGATCTAGTATCTGGACCTTCCTCCTTTTTCTCTTTTGCATTCAATCACTTGATTTTTAGATAACATTGAAACATAACCAATCGAGTGTTGATTTGTCTCATGAAAATGTGCCTTGCTTTTAGTAGAAGTAGAATTGTTTCCTGATGAACAATTTGTAATGCTTTGTTCTTCTTTCAATTTCTTCGAGCATATTTTGCTGACCTCATTATGTTGAATATCTCTTTCACTTCGCATTGTATTGAAGTTTTACAACTTATTTTAGTAGTGTAAATTAATCATATTTCCTGTTGGTTCTGATTTTTTCGTACCAATAAATGACAATTTACTAATTTTGCATTCATTTTTCTTAAAGAAAAACTGCTTCAGTGGTGCTCTGAATCAGATTGATCATCATCGTCTTTCTGGTTGTCTCAAAAGAAGGATAACCGGGCAGATGAATTAAGTGTCAGTGTTTGTGATGACATTTTCAGAAAGTCTTGCTCAAGGTTTTTTTCGTGGTTTTACTTCTCATTTATTTAGGTCCAGTTCATTTGCTATCTTGAAAGGTAGGAAAGGCAAACTCGGATATCGAGCAGCAAAAGTGTAAAGGTCACGAAAACGTGAATGACTTCTAATTGCCTAAACGGTTTTTTAATTTCTCAAACTGTTTCAAAGAGCTCTAAGGCCATATTTTTTTGTTTCAAAGTTGAGTTTTTCAAAACATAAATCGGTTAACTTTTTTTAAATTTCTTGCGTTAATTGACTTTTTTCCAGCTGTCGGATGGCTTTGTTTTTATGATACTGGAGAAGAAAGTCTTAAGTCGAATAACTGACTCCAAGAGTCAATCGCAATCTGGTTTTGCAAGCGGGCACGAGTTTTTTCCCATAAATAACTTTTTTCACATAATTCATCTGCTGGATCCTGGACTCATTCATTTACCGGATTTTTCTTTTACAGCAGACCTTTTTTTGAGCATGTCGGCATTTTATTAATCCGGTTTAATCGCAAGTTCGCTTTTCATGTTAGTTAAAAGTTTTACCGACTCGGTTTGTTGAAATTTCATTTTTTTGATGTTTTTTTTAGAATAATAATAGATGTTTTTTTCTGCGTGATAGGTTTCGACCTATAAGGAGCCATGAACGTAGTGAATACTCCTTTATAGGTTTTGGTAACTTTTTCAGGGTGTTTGATTTTCAGGAAAGTCTTAAAATTTGTTCACGCTACAATTTGATTTTTTCCCGTTTTGTTTTTTGATTTCTTTTTAACTTCTATTGATTTCCTCGGTTGAAACGAAGGCAAACTCTCCTATCGAACAGCAAAAGTTTAAAGGTCACAAAAAACTTGATCGTCTTCTAGTTTCGAAAATGGAATTTAGTTTTCAGATTTCCCAGCGGAATAAAAATTTTAACTATTGATCCAATTTTCTCAAATTGGACTGATTTTGTTGAAAAAAAAATCAATCATGATTAGTTCTAGAAGTTCAAACAGGGTTTAAATTCAATTATTATTTACTTTGAAATTCGAAAATTGAAGTTTTTCAAAAAAAACATCCATATTGTTTTGTTTCCTTGTGTTCATGGCCCTTTTCCAAATGTCTGTTGGCTATGTTTTCATATCGGCTTAGTAGCCTCTTATTGCTTAGAAAATTTTGTGTTTGTGTGCGTGTATGTATTCTGAGGGGAAGGGGGACTTAATTTATTTCAAAAGTTTGGAATTTTTCGAACGCTTTTCTTTGGGATTTGATTTCATAGTTTTTGATTTTTGGTCTAATTTCGTCGAGTGAATTGAGCGCGCGAGCAGGCTTATTTATGCTCAATCTATATTTTGCTTAATTTACAATAGTTTATTTGTGCATAAGCTTAATTTTACTTAAGAAAAGATAGATTTTGGGAGGTTTTAACGCCATTTAGGGAATCAAAGTTTCAAAAAAAAAATGTTTTTTTTTTTCAGTCATTTCGAATTTGCCAGAGCTCTAATTTTTTCTTCATATCCTGTTTTTTTTGTATTTTTTTAAGACTATCTTCGGAACACTTTGCAGTATTTGCACAGTAGCCAGCTATCCTTGTTGCTTCTAGTTTTGTGGAGTAATGAAGAACTGTCTGAATGATTAGGAGTCACTAAACGTAGTGAAGACTCATAAATGGGTCTTGTTGATTTTTTTTCAATTTTTCCCTAAAAAGTCCTAAAACGCTCTTACAACTACAGTGTGCATTCATTTTTCCTAGTTGAAATTCAAAACAAGAATGTGTAAGTCTTGAAGGTTTTTTCAGAAAAGTGTCTTGAAATGCTCTAGTAACTAAAGAAGTGCATTCATATATATTAATGCTTTTATGAATCTATTATATATATGGTATATTATTTTTTAATTTATTATATATTTAAACCCGGGCTTCACTAGCTCGCCATGTTGAAGCTTTTTCAACGTTTTGTTTTTGTATGTTTAACGATAGAATTTTTTACCTTTAAGCTATTCCAATGGTTAAGAATTAATTTGTTTTTCCAGTTTGATTACAAGGATTGTTTCATCAATTTTGACAACATAAACAAACCAATAGTGGCATGCTGTCAGGGTTCCGTCAGAGATTGCGAATTTGGCCTCCAATTTTGAACAACCAAATCCTTTAAGTTAATGAGATACGACTATTTTTAATTTTTTAAGGAAACTCGAAATGAAATATAATCAAAAAGTTGAAATTCCAACCCTGCAGTTGAATACTGTACTTTAGGATTTTGCAACTCTTGCGTTAAAATATGATTGCCCTAATTCTTGTAGTTTTCGAAATATGACGTGTTTTATGATTTCTTTTTAATTTAAAGAACTTTTTAAAGAAAGTTTTAAGAGTTCAAACGATTCTAAATTTCTAATTTTGTAGTTGGCTACTGTGAGGTTGCTCTCAGGAGTTCTAAGTTGCAAATCTTGCGTCCAAATGCGGCTGCTCAAATGCTCTTAGTTACCTAGATGTTACGTTTGTCTTTAAAAAAAATGTTTAATGAATTTAGATATAATAAATTCCAGAGAACTTGAAGTCACATCCCTATAGTGAGGCTCTGACAGGTACTCCTAGGAGTTGCGGGTTTTCCCTCCAAATATGACAGCTCAAATGGTCTTAGTTTCCGATATGTTACGTTTGTCTTCTTTAAAAAGAATGTTTAATGAATTGAGATATAATAAATTCCAGAAAGTTTAAATTCTTATTTCTATAGTGAAACTCTGACAGGGTACTCTCAGGAGTTGTGGGTTTTCCTTCCAAGTATGACTGCTCAAGTCCTTGTAGTTTTCGAGATATGACGTGTTTGTGATTTTTTCGAAAACGTTTCAGAAAACGTAAATTTAATTTTTTTTCCTTCAATTTTTGAAAATTCAACGCTGTAGTTGGGCACTGTGAGCGCACTCTCAGGAGTTGCAAATCTTGCGTCCAAATGCGGCTGCTCAAATGCTCTTAGTTACCTAGATGTTACGTTTGTCTTTAAAATAAATGTTTAATGAATATAGATATAATAAATTCCAGAGAACTTGAAGTCACATCCCTATAGTGAGGCTCTGACAGGTACTCCTAGGAGTTGCGGGTTTTCCCTCCAAATATGACAGCTCAAATGGTCTTAGTTTCCGATATGTTACGTTTGTCTTCTTTAAAAAGAATGTTTAATGAATTGAGATATAATAAATTCCAGAAAGTTTAAATTCTTATTTCTATAGTGAAACTCTGACAGGGTACTCTCAGGAGTTGTGGGTTTTCCCTCCAAGTATGACTGCTCAAGTCCTTGTAGTTTTCGAGATATGACGTGTTTGTGATTTTTTCGAAAACGTTTCAGAAAACGTAAATTTAATTTTTTTTTCTTCAATTTTTGAAAATTCAACGCTGTAGTTGGGCACTGTGAGCGCACTCTCAGGAGTTGCAAATCTTGCGTGCAAATGCGACTGCTCAATGGCTTTTAGTTTCCAAGATGTGCCGCCTTTTATTATTTTTTTAATTTTTCAAAGAACTTAGATATAAAAAACTTTGAATTAAAAAAACTGCACAAAATTTGATATTACTATTACCAACCCTGTAATTGGATGCTGTCAGAAAACACTCAAAGAATGCGGATCTTGTTTCCAATATATGCAGTTTTTCTTGAGTTGTTAACAATTAGAAGCACCGGAGGTTCGTTACGCGCTAGTTCGAATTATTTTGCTAAAAGTTAGAAAAACTTGCGCTCTCCAAATACGGAAATGGCTCGTTTCCTTGCGTTCATTGACTCTCTTTACCAACTGTCTGTTTGCTGATCAAAAGTAGTAGTTTATTATGAGGAGTAGTGTAACAAAACAGTCCGCACAAAAAAGAGTTTTACAGTATGCATAAATTAACATTGATGTGCGGAACATCATTAATTGACAGCTCAAACTCGATTCGATGTTCTATTATAGCGCCAAGCTTGAACAAGTTCTATATTTCTCCAGCTTTGTATTATTCATCACCATCCTGACTTAGTTTGCATATACTTTTGAGAGAAGAAATGGTAGCGGAAGTGTTGTGAAGATCCATTTCGACAGTGTACATAATCCATGAACTTAGAAAAATGTGAGTTTTTACGAAATATGAAAATACTAATTAAATAAATACATTTTTCGAAGAATAATTCGGTGGCTGAAATATTCTGTGCTACTTACACAGCAACTGGCTGCTATTAATGCATGGTATTCAAAGCTCAAGTTCCGAAAAATTCGAAAGGGAGCTATTGTTTAAATTCTGATAGTTTTCTATTTAGTAATTCGATGCTCGTGTTCAAGATGATTTTGATATTTATTTTTTCAGATTAGAACGAAATGTAGTGTTGTCCCAAGCACTCTTCCTCTCCTGTGTGTTTTTTTCCGTGTGTTAGATAAAATGGGTAATAATCTGGCGGCGATTGCGCCCAATATCATCCTGCCTGTGGAGAAGTATCTAGAGGGACATGTTTTCGAGACACAGTCTCTCGGCTCAACCAGGTTCATGAAGGTCGTCAGGGCCAAAAACGCACCCAATGTATCCATAGTGGCGAAGGTAAATCATACATCACGTCATTATCGTGTGGCATCTTTTATGTTATTAGAGTGAAAATTGAAGATGGACAATTAGACTTCGCACATCGTATCACTAATGCAAGCAAAACGCAAAATAAGCACAGCCATTTATGTCAATTTTTGCTTACTGAGAAAATTTCACTGCAAAATGGGAAAAAATCCGATTTAAACGATACGTCTACAAGCGGAGTCTCGAAATCTAATCGTGCTAGCAATTTTTTCTGAACAATTGGTCTAGAGGTAGCGTCCATGCCTGGTACGATTGAGGTCGAGGGTTCGAATCCGGTCAAGACCTGACCATTTTGCAAACTGAAAACTTTCAACAATATTTCGTCGGTCTGTCGTTTGCCTTCTTATTCTTTGTTAATTAGTCGATGCAGCATACAGCACGTGCTTTTATGGTTATTTATGCTTTTTCTAGTGTAATTCAGAGTCTGTTTTCTGAATTGTTTAGCGCAGTGAGGTACTACAAGGCTACTTTATTGAACCGAAGTCGCAATTATTAGTGCTACTTTTGGTAGAACGTTTAAAACAGGAAGCTAAATTGGCCGTTTAGTAGCACATGCTTGAATAGGGTCTAGGACAACAAGCCGACGGGACTTCAAGCCGAAGGGACTTCAGGCCGAAAATTAAACTTTACAAGCACCTCAAATTATTATTTTTTCATCTGTAAAACGTTTCTTTTCAAAATTTTAGGCTAGTTTAGTCCATAATAAGCGTTATTTATGACAATGAATTACTTAGGATTGGCATTAGTTATTAATATCAGCCGTTTTTTGAAATGCATAAATTATAAACAAGAAAATTACCTTCAACCGTGTTTTATTTTTCAACTTTCCTAAACATCATTTGGAGGTTTAAATTTCGTGAAAACGCTAATAATTACAGAATACAGATCATGAAATTGAGAAATTCTTCAAAAAAGTTTTCAAATTAACCTTATTTCATGACTTAATGAGAAAATGTTCGGCTTGAAGTCCCTAATTTTACGATTCGGCTTGAAGTCCCGTCGGCTTGATGTCCGGCACTCGCTTGAATAATGTGCTTTTGAATAATGTGCTTGGACGTTTGATAACTAATAAGTTCAAAATTAATACATTCTTAGTTCATCCAATTAGCCGAAGAAAGCTGTTTGTTTCATACAACAGTACAATATTATCAAATCCATTTCAAAACTTTCCCAACGCAGTCTTTTTCGTCAAATTTTTAAAATGAATATTTTATAAACAGTTTGTTTAATAATTTCCAATTTGTTACATTCAAAGTGTGGTTACCTTTAGTTCATTACATTCCAAACTATTTCTTGTAAAGTTTGTGCTTTTTGCGCATTTTGAAGTTCTCTGCCGCTTTTTTGGTTTTCTTTTGTTTCTATATTCACCAGTGTCACAATTGTGAAGAGCAGTCAACTGGAAAACTTGAACTTCCGAGGACTGAGGATCAATTCCCGTAGAAGTCATTTTTCAAAACTCAGTTTTTCATGTTTTTTCTTTTTGACCTTTTTAAAGCTTCTTCCTGGCGTTTTTTTTTGCCTTTGTTTGCAAAGTGCAGCTTCGCCTGTGTAAAGAAAAAAGGATCTTTTTGTCTCGTAAGAGAATATGCCAATTTATGATCATCTAAATGTTCGATTAAATATCTCGGTTTGTTAGATTTTTCGATTTCATCGCTTTTGGTTTAGTTTTTGTCAGAGTTTCTGATTTTTTTCCAAGACCAACTACGTTACATACTTGATTGATATTTATAGAAGGGTACACTCTAATTGTACTTTCAAGTTCAAATTAGACTTTCGTTTTGACGATTTTTGTCTAAAATTGTCAGCTTTATTACTCGGCTTTATAAGTAACAAAACTAGCTTGATGTTTTCAGTTGAGTTGCCTTGCCTTTTTTGAAGACTGTGCGCTCAATCTCCGTAAACTAGATAAAACGGCTCGGAAAATAATATTTAACTCGTATTCTCGGCAATACGGACATTCATTGTCAATAATTTATAAATAAGCCAAAAACTCACATAACTCATGTTCATAATTTCAACGATTCAACAGTTTCAATAAACAAATTGGTGCAAGCTAGCCACAAGAACCGGTCGGTAATGTCCTTGAGACAAATTGCTCTTTTTGGCGGTCAACCTTAATCAAGGCTGAACCGAATTAGAACCAAAAAACAGTTAAAATAGGATGTAACCCCCGTTTTTAGTATATTAATACATGGGCAGGTGGGGGACTCGAACCTACGTCAACTGTTAACCTATATAATCGGCGTTATGGTAGCTTAGGCCACTCGGCCAACTGAGCTTATTTTATATGCATCTATACTTGTTTTATTCTACATTTGCATTGCTACATCCTCCCCCCCTGAAGAAGGAAGAACCGGAGCGAGCTTAACGGTCGGCCGCGTGACTTCACGGGTTGCGGTCCTGACAAGGGCGGATCGGGCGCAACCGTCCTGTCCGTAGTTTAGCTTGACGATTCGGGCGAGAGGGTAGTACCCACGCGGGCTATCGGGCTCAATCACGCACACGAGATCGCCTGTTTTAAGAGTGAAGTCAGAATGAGTGTGCCACTTGACACGCTTATTCAGCGAGGGAACATATTCTTGAAGCCAACGAGACCAAATCGCGTTAGCATATGACTGCGCTCGCACGTACCTTTTCTTGTGATCGAAGTGCTCCCCGGGTAAAAGCGAAGGAAAGCTTGTGGCATGTTGTCCAAGCAAAAAATGGTTTGGGGTTAACGCTTCTAACTCACGTGAATCGGTACTAACGGGAGTGATTGGCCTCGAATTCAAAGCCTGTTCAACTAAGCAGAGTGTTGTTCCTAACACCTCTTCAGTGACTCGCCTACTGCCTAGGATATCGTACAGCACGCGCTTCACGCTTCGGACGAGGCGTTCCCAGGAGCCGCCATGATGGGGTGCGCCTGGCGGGTTAAATTTCCAAGTAACACCTTTGTGTGCAAAAATGGTCGGAGCCATGCCATTCCAGCTCTTGATGCAGGCAAGTAATTCCTTTTCCGCACCAACGAAGTTCGTGCCATTATCCGACCAGATTGTGCTTGGCGTACCACGGCGCGCAACGAACCGTTCAATGCCCATGACACACGAACTGGTGTCCAGAGACGGTACAATCTCAAGGTGTACAGCCCTGGTGGTGAGGCAAGTAAAAAGAAATCCCCATCTTTTTTCCGTGCTTCTGCGAACCGGAACGTAAAGCGGTCCAAAGTAATCCACACCCGTATGATTGAAGGGTGGTTGCTTGTATCCGAGACGTTCGACCGGTAAATCGGACATAATTGGCTGGATGGTGCTTGCTTTGCGTTTACGGCATGTCACACATTGATTTTCGATAGACCGCAGTAGTCGACGCAACCCAAGTATTGCATATTTCATATTTAAAACGGAGCGCATGTAATCTAATCCTTGATGAAAATGCTTATGGTGGAGGCTGCGGGCCAACAAACGAACTAAGGTATGTCGGGCGTCGAGTATTATTGGGTGCTTAGTATCAAACTCGGTATTCACTAAGCGCACAATCCGTCCGGTGGAACGAATGATACCAGCGGGACCGATAAATGGCGAGTATGTGGCAATTTTACTACTATTCTTAATAGGTTTGCCAGCGGTGAGTGCTTTTAACTCAACGGGAAAGGATTCCATCTGAGCAAGATGAATCAGTTTGCTTTCTGCAATATCAAGTTCAGTAGGGTCGGTGATTCGTAAGTCTTTACCACGAAAATGCTTATGTGAAGGCAACACCCTCAACATAAAAGCGACTACTCGTTTATATCTTGTAAAGGAACTGAACCTTTCCCAATTGAACCCGTGTTCGGGATGTTTGATTGATGTGACATCGGTGACGAAGGAAGATGATGTCTCCAAGCAATTATCAACATCACAAGAAGGACCCTTCAAACGAATTTTATTGATTACACGTTCGTCGGGTATAAACGGCCAATCAGTAGTCCTGAGAATGCTCGGACCAATAACCCAGCTGCTATCCTTGAGGGCTTCCGAATAAATCCCCCGCGTACCGGTATCAGCTGGATTATTGCCGCTCAGAACATGGTGCCACTCATCAATAGTGGTCGACTCGAGGATTTCGCCGACACGATTAGCGACGAATACAGGTAATTTTTCAGTGGAGTTTAGCCACTGCAAAACTGTTGTACTATCTGTCCACATAAAGACATGATTAATAGAGACGGTAAGGGCGGTCAGTATATCATCTTTTAGTCGTGTGGCGAGCAGAGCAGCTTGAAGCTCTAGCTTCGGTATAGATAGCGCTTTCATGGGCGCAACGCGAGCTTTACCAAAGATGAAGGATATTTGAGTTTTATGTGAGCTCGCGAGTCGCGCACGCAAAAATCCAACAGCACAGAAAACGTCCTGCGAGCTATCACCGAACATGTGGAGCTCAATTTGATCAACAAGCTCTGTGAAGTAACAACGGGGAATAGTCAATTGCCCTAAGAGAGGGAGACCGGAGTGCCACTCGAGAAACTTATCTCTTATGTCTTCTGGCAATTCGTCGTCCCAACTTTGACCACTGATTTTCCAAATATCTTTAAGTAAAAGACGGGCCCTAACTGTGTATGGAGCTACTAACCCAACAGGGTCAAACACAGAAGAGACGAAACTCAAGACGGTTCGTTGAGTTATTGCTTTATCGAGAGGGCGATCCACGCCTCTGCTAACAACCAATGTGTCTTTCACATGGTCCCACTTAAGACCTAAGACGTGTGATGATTGTTCGGCACCGTTACATATTTCCTTGATGGGTGAAGATGAGGTTTCGGATTCCTCGGGGTTCATTGCTGAAGTGATTTCATCAGCATTACTGACAAATTTAGTCAAATTAAATCCTCCTAATTTTAGTAAGGAAACCAAATCGCGACTAGTTTTAATTGCTTGGGTAACGTTCTCGAATGAATCCAAGTAATCGTCCATGTAAAATTTTTCATTTACGACTGAGGCGGCCTCAGGGTATGT